AGACCAATGAACGCACCTACCAAAACACCAACAAACAGCACCAACACCCCCACCTTATCCACAATCGCCCCCGTGTGCTTCTCCAGCAGCTGTGCCTCCGTGGTGGCGATAAGCGCCTTGCGAGTGCATGCACGCAAGGGTACCTACATACACAGTACCCTGTCAGCCGCCCACCCACCTTATCCACAATCGCCCCCGTGTGCTTCTCCAGCAGCTGTGCCTCCGTGGTGGCGATGAGCGCCTTGCGCGTGCTGCTAGGCAGGTAGTGCACACACCGGTCGTTCTCCTCCTGCAGTCGGGTCTGGGAGAGGGCACAGGGGTAGTCAATTGCTCCGGGCTCCCCTCTAGGGACAAATCATCCGCAGCCTGACAAGTGCTCCTTGGTCCACTCAAAACTCAAGGCTCGCTCAAAGCTGAATGCCCAAATGCCCAAGCCCAACCCCCAGAGCTCAACACCCACCTCCATGAGTTTGAGGTAGTCGCGCACGTCGGTCTGCTGCATGAACCGGCTGCCTTCAGAGCTCTAGAACTCCGCTGTCTCCTCCCAGAAACTGCCTCTCGAAGCTGCTGCTGTACACAAATCACGTCGCCAACACCCACAGCTCAACACTCACATCACCCAACACTCACCTCCACGAGTTTGAGGTAATCACGGACGTCTGTCTGCTGCATGAACCGGCTGCCCTCAGAACTATAAAACTCTGCAGTTTCCTCCAGGAATTGCCTCTCAAAGCTGCTGCTGTACACACCCAGCGCCGAGAACATCCCCACCAGGTTCTTCAAGAGCGATCGATCCACTGTGTCGCCAGACCTGCACAAGGAAGGGAAGAGGTAATCCCGGTAAAGAAGGGAGGAAGGAGGAAGCGGTGGGTGTTCAGCGCAAAGCTGCTGCTGTACACTCCCAGCGCTGAGAACATTCCCACCAGGTTCTTCAGCAGCGATCGACTTTTGAGACGTCTCAAAAGTCATTCCCACCAGGTTCTTCAAGAGGGATCGATCCACCGTGTCGCCAGACCTGCACAAGGAGGGAGGACGTGAGTAAGTTCCGTGAGGAAGGGAGGAAAAGGGGCTGGGGTAATGTGCAGCTCGAAGCTGCTGCTGTACACACCCAGCGCCGACAACATGCCCCACGAGGTTCTTCAAGAGCGAGCGGTCAACTGTGTCGCCAGGCACCACCTCCAGGCGCTCTCTCAGGCACCCCCTCCATGTGCGAGCGACTCCCTCCTCTCCAACAGCCTCAGCCCCATGCCCCACAGCCACTCCTTCCCCTCCCTCGACGCTCGTTTGAGGCTCCGTAAACCAACAACGGGAGAGGGGAGAGAGGGGGGAAGCAGCAACCACACGGAATCCACCTTTCCCTTTCGATCAGCAACAGCATCCCCGTGACTCTCCGCCTCTCCACCTCAGGCGCCCCCTCCAGGTGCGAGCGGAACAGCCTCAGCCCCATGTCCCACAGCGACTGCACGCCCACCCCTCCTCTCCTTCGACCCCGATTGAGTTGAGACGCCTCAAAAGCAACAAGCACCCACCTTTCGCGTTCTATAAGCTGCAGCAGCCCCGTGACTGTCCGCCTCTCCACCTCAGGCACCCCCTCCAGGTGCGAGCGGAAGAGCCTCAGCCCCATGTCCCACAGCGACTGCACGCCCGCCCCTCCTTTGACCCCGATTGAGTTGAGACGCCTCAAAACAAGAACGAGGAGGGGGGAGGGGAGGAAGCAGCAAGCACACGGCACCCACCTTTCCCTCTCAATGAGCTGCAGCAGCCCCGTGACTGTCCGCCTTTCAACCTCAGGCACCCCCTCCAGGTGCGAGCGGAACAGCCTCAGCCCCATGTCCCACAGCGACTGCACGCCCGCGCCCGACGCCTGCATTGCGAACGTACGGTCCAGATACAGCGCGATCGACCGGATCATGAGCATCTGCTCGCAGAAATCGCGCCACGTGGCAGCCACGTGCTCCAGGAAGAGGACTGGGTCGGGGGAGCCCTGGGCGAGGAGGAGTTGGAGCTTGGCGGCTATGTGGCGGTCGCATTCGGCCTGCAGGCGAGAGTACAGCCCTGCTGCCATCTTGTGTAGACATAGCCCCTCCACTGCCTGCCAAGGGGGGAACAGGCAGGACCGGAAGAAGGAGAAGGGATGGGAGGAAGAGAAGCAGGGAGAGAAGGATCAGCAGGCAAATGGTGAGGAGATGAGCAGGCACGAAGCTCAGGAAGAGGACTGGGTCGGGGGAGCCCTGGGCGAGGAGGAGGTGGAGTTTGGCGGCTATGTGGCGGTCGCATTCGGCCTGCAGGCGAGAGTACAGCCCTGCTGCCATCTTGTGTAGACACAACCCCTCCACTGCCTGCGGGGGGGGGGGGGGGAGAAAGGGCGGGACCAGGGAGGAGGAGAAGGGAGGGAAGGACGAGACCTGTTGAAGGCCAAGTTTTGGCGGTTGGGGGCGTCACGGTTGGGAGAATGTCTAAGCACTCCTCTCCAGGTCACTCTATGGGGAGTGGAATCTCACCGTAGCGAAACATTTTGAGGTGCCTACAATATCTTCTGACATATCTCACCCTATTCGCGTGGTGTGTCACCCTTGTAAATTACTTTACGTCTTCACCCGAATCATTTAATACAGTCAACCTAAATACCTGCCCTAATCTTACTCGATACATTTTCCCCGCGTCACCTCCTAATTACTTCACCTCATCACGCCCAGGTGTTTCTTCCCATCTCACCCAACCATCTCCCCATCTCACCCAACCATCTCCCCATCTCACCCGCTTTACCCCACCCCTCCCAACAATTCACCCAGTTACTTCCTCCCATCTCACCCGGTACAGCTCCTCCAAGCTGCACGAAACCGCTCGTTTTTCGTGAATGGCGGTAACCGCCTCCCTCAGCTTCGCCCATGTCGTCTCCTCGTAATCTGGAGGCAGCTGTGGCTTGGCTGGTGGACGGGGATGGGGCCGGGAGGCGAGGAGAGGGAGGGGAAGGACAGAGGGCGGATAGGGAGGAGAGGGAGAAGGACGGGAGAAGGACGAGAACGAGAACGCCTTAAAACGCAAATTCAGTGTGCACATGACTAAAGGCCCACAGTGCAACACGAGAGAAGGAACAACTCAATAGGGACAAGCAGCTCCACAGGGATCACCAATTTAAAGGTGCTGCGGGATGCAGAGCGGTGCATGTCAGCATAAAGCAAGAGAGAAAAGTGTGAAGGCGGTGAGTGAGATAAAGGGGTAAGGGGGAAGGAATAAGGGGTAAGGGGTGGTTGATGAATCTGACAAGGAGAGATAGAAAGGTGGAGAGGTAAAGAGCGGTTAGATGTATCAGGTGATCACAACGAAGACTGAGGAAGACCGAGGGCAATCGCAGACGCGACTGCCAGATTTGACTAAAACGGTGGCATCAGAGGGAGTGGAAAAAAAAGTGAGTGAAAAAAGGGCACCTTTGAAGGCTTTTATGACCAGCTTCCTTCCTTGCTGCGGCCCGCCAGTCGCGTTCTTCTGCGATCCTGACGAATTGCTCTGAGCTCCATTTTTCAATCCGACGGCGCTCGCTCCTCCTCGTGTGCTGCCGTTTCCGCCGACAAAATTCGGAGCTCCGTCGGCTGCTCGTGCGGTATTTCTGGACGGACCTGACGGCGGATCCAGGTCCATGGGTTCGCGAAATCGTTTGCGACGAGTAGCGAGTTACCACTCGGACTAGTCCATTCGCGGATTCTCCACGAGAGTAAATTCTCGCTTTCCTGGCTTTCTACGGGCTTCGGAAGAAGCGATCTGCAACAAATTCGAGACTGCAAGACTAAGACTGAAAAAACAAAGTAATCAAGTGAATTCCACCGGAACCCTAGAATTCAATCTCTAGACTCAACGCGTCAACAACGACAGGATTCTCTGTGCGATTCTTTGAACCTACTCTCCTGAAAGAAGCTACACGATGGACGACGTGTGTAGAGCTCGGTTCCGAATGGCTAATAGCTCGTCAAGTCCAAGCCAAGAAATAGAGCTACGTCAATGACAAACCTACTCTCCTCGGGACAAAAACTTTAACGAGGGGTTAGTAAAAACTCTCTAGAGGCTTAATGTGGATGAATCTCGAGCTGCAGCTTCCTCCTAAATGACGAGTTATGTCGCAGAGCAGTCTTAGAACGAAGGGGATCTGCCACTTGAAGATACCTATGTTGCCTTACAGAATCTTCGATGTGAAACACCCCTCTACGTGAACTCATCCCTGAACAAGTCCCGTTTAGCCACAAGTTCACTTCTGTTACACAACACTTCCGTTTTGTCAGTTCAATCTTAATATTAATGAAACCAGCATCTGTTTACGCATGAAAAACTCTTCAAATATGTTTATAGCCATTCAAAGTCACAAAAATATTGCATTGTTTCATTTTACAGTCTTTTTAATCTTTACAATTACATTTGTTTTCTGGTATCTTCATCTCTAAAGAGCAAAAGGATGTTCATTTGGTTCCTATATAATATAAGCATTTTTTAGACTCTCAATCTGCAGCGAATTTGTTCGTGCAAGCGGCCCCAGTATCGCGAATGCTTCAGCTGTAATCTGACAAACAATGCTCCGCTAACTCCCATTGCTGACCGTCCATCTGCATGAGAACTATTTTAATTGACGGTCAACAATTATTGATAAATCGACGGCTGGTGAAACTGTCAGATTCCAGGGATGAAACTGGACTCGAGAAACTGCGGATGCCTATTTTTGAAATCTCTCAGTTGAGTAAATCAGTAGGTAGCAGCCTCGGATGGATCGCACCACATGATTCATTTCAGCAGCAGCAACACCTTTCACAAAGCTGTAATTTCCTGTTCGCGTTTCGTTGCACTGGCAACGATCCCTCGTGAACAACGACCACAAAGTGGAGCTTGTTCCTCTCCATTTTCTTCGTAGTTGTGAATTCCATCGTCTTCACGTTCTGCGCCTTCTTAGTACACCACGAATTCGCCCCTTTTGTCTGAATAACACTAACGTGGGTTCACGAGCAGTTACGTTCCGAATGACGCTGCCGTCGCCGCGACTAGATGGCATCGCGAACGGCACCCCGCGTCGCGCCAGCCTGGACAGAACCAACCGTCAGATCGTGTATCCGACGGCGGAGGAGCGCTTGGACGAGCTGCGGAAACGGATGGGGAAGGCGGACGGGGATCCGTTGAAGGTCGTTGGGGTTGGCGCCGGCGCGTGGGGCTGCGTCTTCACGGCAATGATCCAGGTGTGTGGACATGACTGCGAGAGTGAAGCTTGACTTCAAATAACGTTTGCGGAGACGGATGGGGAAGGGGGACGGGGATCTGGGGTTGGCGCCGGTGCGTGGGGCTGCGTCTTCACGGCAATGATACAGGTGCGTATCCATCCACGGTGTAGTGAGACGATCTTTTAGGCGCCTCGAAATCATTCTCACCGGGGCTGCGTCTTTACGGCAATGATACAGGTGTGTGGACGGTTGTGATCATCGACGGTGTAATCTGGAGAATATGTGTTTGTGGGAGTCACGTCGTAGACGGCCCTGATTAGGTCAATACTAGCGAGATTGAGGGTTGAATCCATGTAACTTCCACGGATCTACACAAGGGTGGAAAGACACTGGCACTGGTAACACCTCTGGACAACCCCCGTTTTCCCCAGTGGTGTAGGGCTCGGGTTGTTATATCCCGTCTCTGTGGCTATAATTCCCACTTGTGGGGAAGGGTGCAAGGGAACGGGGTGGATTCATACAGTGACTTTGAGACCTTAATGTGCACATGTTACTGGTACAGGACCCACATCCTCAAATAGTTTCTCAATGCCGTGATCCATGGCGAAAGTAATTGTTTCATGTGCCGTCTCACCTCGGTACTTGCAGGAGACGTACGGCCAATTCAAGGACAAGATCGATGCGCGAATCTGGCTTTGAGACGTCTCAAAAGTAATCATTCCCTTGTGTGCCGCCTAACTGCGTCCTTGCAGGAAAAGTACGGCCAATTCAAGGACAAGATTGATGTGCGAATCTGGCGACGTGGCGGGCGAGCTTTGGACAAGGCGTTCGCACAGAAGTTGTTCAACGTGATCAACGACAGGGAGGACATCCTCCGCCGCTTGATACGCAACTGCGCTTATCTCAAATACGTGGAGGGGCGGCTGGGGGATAGAGTACTACTAGCTGATGAGATCCTGAGGTGATAACTTGCAATTATTCTCCTTTTGCATTGCCAGTAATCATGATGTTTTTCTCTTCTCATGGAAAGTGATATTGTTAGGCTAGCCCGCACCCGAGCGGTCTACCAGGGTAACATAACCCCTCCGGCTCATTCTTGATCTCTTTTTATAGCCCCATTTTTTCTGAAATTCCTTACTCTCCTTAAACCTTCCCCGGACCTTCCCCGGACCTCCTCCCTGCCTGTTTATCACAGGGACGGCTTTTGCGTCAATCTAGCTGACACGCCCCTGTGCCCTCTCAACGTGGTGACCAATCTGCAAGAAGCCATGTGGGGTGCTTTGTGAGGCGCCTCAAGGATTGAACCTTACTCCGAACCTCCTCCCTGGTTTTTTTCTAACACAGGGACGGTTTCTGTGTCAACCTAGCCGACACGCCCCTGTGCCCTCTCAACACAGTAACCAATCTGCAAGAAGCTGTGTGGGATGCTGACGTCATCATCAACGGCCTACCGTCCACCGAGACCAGATCCGTTTTCCGCCAGATCGGGCTGTTCTGGCGGGAGAGACGGCGGCCGCCAGCTGTCATCGTGTCATTGGCCAAGGGCGTGGAGGCTGCTATGGAGCCTGAGCCGCATATCGTGACACCGACGCTCATGATTCACCAAGAGAGTAAGTCTTGTTTGAAGCACCTTGAAAATAACGCGAGTGTGAAAATAGGAACATTATTAATTATGTTGTTGGGGAAGAAAGGAGCGAGTGGTTGGTGATCGAGCGAGAGAGTGACTGGTAAAACAATGGTATACTTGAAGGTTTTTATACTGTAAGTGGACTTTGCCATTAGCGAGTGCACATTGATTTACTGTTCCCTTCCCATCCCCTCTTCGGCCTTCTGTTCCCCCCTTTCCCTAATCCCCAGCCGGCGTCCCTATGGAGAACATACTGTACCTCGGAGGCCCTAATATCGCAGCCGAGATTTACAATAAAGAGTACGCCAACGCGCGCCTGTGTGGCGCCGCCACGTGGCGCGTTCCCATGGCAGCATTCCTCCGCCAGCGCAACTTCGCAGTATGGGACAACAGCGACCTAGTCACCCACGAGGTTATGGGTGGTCTCAAGAATGTCTACGCGATCGGAGCGGGGATTGTAGCCGGGTCGACTCGGGACAGCGCGACGTCTAAATCGGTGTATTTCGCGCATAGCACGAGCGAAATGATCTTCGTTACACACTTGCTAACAAAAGAGCCAGAGCGGCTCGCCGGGCCGCTATTGGCGGACACGTATGTGACTCTATTGAAGGGGCGGAACGCGTGGTATGGGCAGCAGCTTGCGGAGGGAAAGCTGACGGCTGAGATGGGCGATATGGTGGAAGGCAAGGGGCTGATTCAGGTGAGACTGGTAGGAAGAGAAGTAGTGAGAAGTACCCTGGTCAGAAGTAGCCTTGTGGCGCCCATCCAGCTCTGTCCCATTCCGCCTTCTCGCTGCTGACACTGACGCTCATTCTGCCCCCGTTGTCCCCCCTGCTTTTTCTTCACCCCCCCTTCCTCCAGGGGGTGTCAGCAGTGGCAGCGTTTTACACGGTGCTGAGTGAACCAGCTTACAAGGTGCCTCACCCAGTAACCAACGACCTTGTGGCGCCCATCGAGCTCTGCCCCATCCTGCAGACGCTCTACCACATCCTGCACGTGCGGTGAGTGTTGAGGCGTGCTCCCAAGGCATGCTCCCAAGCACTCGACTTTTGAGACGTCCCATAGCTCTGCCCCATCCCATCCTGCAGACGCTCTACCACATCCTGCACGTGCGGTGAGTGATGGATCTTGAGGCATGCTCCTGGACACGCCAAGGGACGAGAACATGTACGACCTGGCATAGCGCATACCAACGCCTTCCCCTGTCCCTGTCCCCCCCCCCCCCCGCCCCATCCCCTCCTCTCTCCCAGTGACCTACCATGTGAAGCCATCCTGGACACGCTAAGGGACGAGAACATGTACGACCCGGCACAGCGCATAGCTTCTGCTCCGGAGCGGTTCTATGTGTCCAAGCTGCTGGATCAGCACCCCAGCAGCAACGACTTGAGTGACGCTGCTCCCGATGCGGTGAATGCACTAAGATTGTGAATACCAGAGTTAGCAGTCTAGGAAATATTGCTCTGGAGAGTGAATCAGGTTAGGGCATTGTATGCCAGCCAGCACAGCGCATAGCTTCTGCTCCGGAGCGGTGCTATGTGTCCAAACTGCTGGACCAACACCCCAGCAGCAACGACTTGAGTGACGCTGCTGCCGACTCTGTGAATGCACTGCGATTGTAAATACCAGAGTCGACAGTTTAGGAACTCGTCCTGTGCCAGTTCTGTAGCCCAGATCAGTGCATGTATACTGTATGCTCCTGGACCAGGGGTGTCGCAAGGCAACCCAGCAGCAGCAGCAGCAGCAGCAGCAGCAGCAGCAGCATGAAATCAACGCATGAAATCAACCCATGGTGATTGTCTCAATCATTGGCCTTAATAATTCAACAGTGCAAATTCTATGTGTTCAACTACCGGTATGTGTTGAAGAATGTGGATGGCAGTTGGCACGTGTAGATAAATCTATGTGCTAGATTGACAGGCAGCAGCCTGTACTCATATAGACTCCATGTAATATTTCGCAGGAATCTACAGACAGACAGCCTTGATTGGTTCCAATTACGGTATGATTCCAGTTCCACTGGATCTGGTTGGACAGGCAACTCAGATCCAGTGCACCGCAGAGTTGCACAGTCCAGCTAGTGAACTGAAGAAAGAGTTAATTGCTGACTGAGACGGGTTCTGGGTCTCTGCCTTTCACAAGCTTTGAAGAGCGCCGGCCACATTGCGTTTTATTCTCTCCGAAATGTCCTCCTGCAAGCCACATGTTACCCACATGTTACCCACATGTTACCCACATGTTACCCACATGTTACCCACATGTTACACCATAGGTCAGAGTGTAAATTGCCCAAATAGTAGAGTGCGGAACAAGCAGGTAGTAACACACACAGGTGCGACAGGCTGGGATCACAAAATGAGCTTCGAGACGTTGCGAAACTCACACAACCTCCGATCCTGAAACACATCTGGCTGCACCGCAAATGGAGAATGCGATGGACTCGTGTGCAAGCTGCAAATAACTCCCGAAGAGTTCTGCGCAGAACTCACCTTGACGTCGGGAAGGTGGAAGCGCCGCCCGGTGATTGCCTCGTACAGTGCAATGTAGCTGCGGGTGTAAAGAGTGGTGTATAGAGGTGGACATGGGGGAAGAAAGATGACACGGGATAGTTTTTTTGGTGAGGAACAAAAGTAACAGCAAGGCTGGGAAAGTGGCAGCGCCGCCCGGTGATTGCCTCGTACAGTGCAATGTAGCTGCGGGTGTAAAGAGTGGTGTATAGAGGTGGACATGGGGGAAGAAAGATGACACGGGATAGTTTTTTTGGTGAGGAACAAAAGTAACAGCAAGGCTGGGAAAGTGGCAGCGCCGCCCGGTGATTGCCTCGTACAGTGCAATGTAGCTGGGGCTGGTGGGAGTTGGTAAAGAGGGACATGGGGGAGGGAAAGATGACACGGGATAGTTTTTTTTGGTGAGGAACAAAAGTAACAGCAAGGCTGGGAAAGTGGCAGCGCCGCCCGGTGATTGCCTCGTACAGTGCAATGTAGCTGCGGGTGTAAAGAGTGGTGTATAGAGGTGGACATGGGGGAAGAAAGATGACACGGGATAGTTTTTTTGGTGAGGAACAAAAGTAACAGCAAGGCTGGGAAAGTGGCAGCGCCGCCCGGTGATTGCCTCGTACAGTGCAATGTAGCTGCGGGTGTAAAGAGTGGTGTATAGAGGTGGACATGGGGGAAGAAAGATGACACGGGATAGTTTTTTTGGTGAGGAACAAAAGTAACAGCAAGGCTGGGAAAGTGGCAGCGCCGCCCGGTGATTGCCTCGTACAGTGCAATGTAGCTGGGGGTGGTGGGAGTTGGTAAAGAGGGACATGGGGGAGGGAAAGATGACACGGGATAGTTTTTTTGGTGAGGAACAAAAGTAACAGCAAGGCTGGGAAAGTGGCAGCGCCGCCCGGTGATTGCCTCGTACAGTGCAATGTAGCTGCGGGTGTAAAGAGTGGTGTATAGAGGTGGACATGGGGGAAGAAAGATGACACGGGATAGTTTTTTTGGTGAGAAACAAAAGTAACAGCAAGGCTGGGAAAGTGGCAGCGCCGCTCGGTGATTGCCTTGTACAGTGCAATGTAGCTGCGGGTGTAAAGAGTGGTGTATAGAGGTGGACATGGGGGAAGAAAGATGACACGGGATAGTTTTTTTGGTGAGGAACAAAAGTAACAGCAAGGCTGGGAAAGTGGCAGCGCCGCCCGGTGATTGCCTCGTACAGTGCAATGTAGCTGCGGGTGTAAAGAGTGGTGTATAGAGGTGGACATGGGGGAAGAAAGATGACACGGGATAGTTTTTTTGGTGAGGAACAAAAGTAACAGCAAGGCTGGGAAAGTGGCAGCGCCGCCCGGTGATTGCCTCGTACAGTGCAATGTAGCTGGGGGTGGTGGGAGTTGGTAAAGAGGGACATGGGGGAGGGAAAGATGACACGGGATAGTTTTTTTGGTGAGGAACAAAAGTAACAGCAAGGCTGGGAAAGTGGCAGCGCCGCCCGGTGATTGCCTCGTACAGTGCAATGTAGCTGCGGGTGGTGGGAGTTGGTAAAGAGGGACATGGGGGAGGGAAAGATGACACGGGATAGTTTTTTTGGTGAGGAACAAAAGTAACAGCAAGGCTGGGAAAGTGGCAGCGCCGCCCGGTGATTGCCTCGTACAGTGCAATGTAGCTGCGGGTGTAAAGAGTGGTGTATAGAGGTGGACATGGGGGAAGAAAGATGACACGGGATAGTTTTTTTGGTGAGGAACAAAAGTAACAGCAAGGCTGGGAAAGTGGCAGCGCCGCCCGGTGATTGCCTCGTACAGTGCAATGTAGCTGCGGGTGTAAAGAGTGGTGTATAGAGGTGGACATGGGGGAAGAAAGATGACACGGGATAGTTTTTTTGGTGAGGAACAAAAGTAACAGCAAGGCTGGGAAAGTGGCAGCGCCGCCCGGTGATTGCCTCGTACAGTGCAATGTAGCTGCGGGTGGTGGGAGTTGGTAAAGAGGGACATGGGGGAGGGAAAGATGACACGGGATAGTTTTTTTGGTGAGGAACAAAAGTAACAGCAAGGCTGGGAAAGTGGCAGCGCCGCCCGGTGATTGCCTCGTACAGTGCAATGTAGCTGCGGGTGGTGGGAGTTGGTAAAGAGGGACATGGGGGAGGGAAAGATGACACGGGATAGTTTTTTTTGGTGAGGAACAAAAGTAACAGCAAGGCTGGGAAAGTGGCAGCGCCGCCCGGTGATTGCCTCGTACAGTGCAATGTAGCTGCGGGTGGTGGGAGTTGGTAAAGAGGGACATGGGGGAGGGAAAGATGACACGGGATAGTTTTTTTGGTGAGGAACAAAAGTAACAGCAAGGCTGGGAAAGTGGCAGCGCCGCCCGGTGATTGCCTCGTACAGTGCAATGTAGCTGCGGGTGGTGGGAGTTGGTAAAGAGGGACATGGGGGAGGGAAAGATGACACGGGATAGTTTTTTTGGTGAGGAACAAAAGTAACAGCAAGGCTGGGAAAGTGGCAGCGCCGCCCGGTGATTGCCTCGTACAGTGCAATGTAGCTGCGGGTGGTGGGAGTTGGTAAAGAGGGACATGGGGGAGGGAAAGATGACACGGGATAGTTTTTTTGGTGAGGAACAAAAGTAACAGCAAGGCTGGGAAAGTGGCAGCGCCGCCCGGTGATTGCCTCGTACAGTGCAATGTAGCTGCGGGTGGTGGGAGTTGGTAAAGAGGGACATGGGGGAGGGAAAGATGACACGGGATAGTTTTTTTGGTGAGGAACAAAAGTAACAGCAAGGCTGGGAAAGTGGCAGCGCCGCCCGGTGATTGCCTCGTACAGTGCAATGTAGCTGCGGGTGGTGGGAGTTGGTAAAGAGGGACATGGGGGAGGGAAAGATGACACGGGATAGTTTTTTTGGTGAGGAACAAAAGTAACAGCAAGGCTGGGAAAGTGGCAGCGCCGCCCGGTGATTGCCTCGTACAGTGCAATGTAGCTGCGGGTGGTGGGAGTTGGTAAAGAGGGACATGGGGGAGGGAAAGATGACACGGGATAGTTTTTTTGGTGAGGAACAAAAGTAACAGCAAGGCTGGGAAAGTGGCAGCGCCGCCCGGTGATTGCCTCGTACAGTGCAATGTAGCTGCGGGTGGTGGGAGTTGGTAAAGAGGGACATGGGGGAGGGAAAGATGACACGGGATAGTTTTTTTGGTGAGGAACAAAAGTAACAGCAAGGCTGGGAAAGTGGCAGCGCCGCCCGGTGATTGCCTCGTACAGTGCAATGTAGCTGCGGGTGGTGGGAGTTGGTAAAGAGGGACATGGGGGAGGGAAAGATGACACGGGATAGTTTTTTTGGTGAGGAACAAAAGTAACAGCAAGGCTGGGAAAGTGGCAGCGCCGCCCGGTGATTGCCTCGTACAGTGCAATGTAGCTGCGGGTGGTGGGAGTTGGTAAAGAGGGACATGGGGGAGGGAAAGATGACACGGGATAGTTTTTTTGGTGAGGAACAAAAGTAACAGCAAGGCTGGGAAAGTGGCAGCGCCGCCCGGTGATTGCCTCGTACAGTGCAATGTAGCTGCGGGTGGTGGGAGTTGGTAAAGAGGGACATGGGGGAGGGAAAGATGACACGGGATAGTTTTTTTGGTGAGGAACAAAAGTAACAGCAAGGCTGGGAAAGTGGCAGCGCCGCCCGGTGATTGCCTCGTACAGTGCAATGTAGCTGCGGGTGGTGGGAGTTGGTAAAGAGGGACATGGGGGAGGGAAAGATGACACGGGATAGTTTTTTTGGTGAGGAACAAAAGTAACAGCAAGGCTGGGAAAGTGGCAGCGCCGCCCGGTGATTGCCTCGTACAGTGCAATGTAGCTGCGGGTGGTGGGAGTTGGTAAAGAGGGACATGGGGGAGGGAAAGATGACACGGGATAGTTTTTTTGGTGAGGAACAAAAGTAACAACAAGGCTGGGAAAGTGGCAGCGCCGCCCGGTGATTGCCTCGTACAGTGCAATGTAGCTGCGGGTGGTGGGAGTTGGTAAAGAGGGACATGGGGGAGGGAAAGATGACACGGGATAGTTTTCCTGGTGAGGAGCAAAAGTAACCTTGACGTCGGGAAGGTGGCAGCGCCGCCCGGTGATTACTTCGTACAGTGCAATGTAGCTGGGGGTGGTGGGGGGTGATATACAGAGGGACATAGGGGAGGAAACAGTTGGGATTTTATTCCCGCAGAAGAACAGAAGTAACTGTGAGGATGGGAAGGTTGAGGCGCTCCAAAGTGATTTGTTGTGGTGGCATACAGAGGGACAAGGGGGAGAATTCATATGGGGGGGGGGAACATCTGACTTCCGTAAATATTTCACAGAACCACATGGCTGGGGTGGCTTGGTGGAAGGGTCACCAACATACCGTATGCAGTGATCTGCAATATGGTGCACTGAGGTGCAGTGGACTGTGCAGTGCAGTGCAGGGAGCACCAAGAAACAACGGGCAGGCGAGCACAAGGAAGGCGGGGGCACCAAGGAACTCACCGCCAGGATAGCTCTGTGATGAGATGAGGGCCCGCTTGAGGTGCCTAAAAGAATGGCATTTTTCAAGGCGCTTCAGAGAACGGTGGGAGCAGCAAGGAACTCACCGCCAGGATAGCTCTGTGATGAGATGAGCGGGCGCTGCAGGGAGAGTCTGCGGGCAGAACAGGGCACAGAGGAAGAAAAGGGAGAAGTATTAGGGAGGAGAAACGGGAAGGAGGCGGGAGGAGGCGAACCAGGGAGGAGGAGGAGGAGGAGAGACAAAGAGAAAGCCAAAAAGCAAGCACATCAGCCTTCAGTTATGTGTGCAAGCACACTACAAATTGTTCTGGCAGTGCAGTAGCATTGAACTGCCACGAGTATTTTGCCATCAAATGCCATGCCAGCAGTGCTATAGTACCCTGCCATGCCGGCAGTGCTACAGACAGTACCCTTGCATGTTGGCAGCACGACAGCACCCACCTTGTCATTGTATGGGTCGCAGTTTTCCCGGAACCAAAGCCGCAAAAACTCCTGCAGGCAGCACATGAGCGAGAGGGAAGAATCAAAACCAGAGCTTAGGCATTGGGGTCTATAATCGGGTAAGCATCGGAGCCACATCGAAACCAGAGACACATAAGTTCCTTTAAGCAGCACACGGGAAGCTAAAAAAACGTTCTGTGGTGGTTGCGAGGCGTTGTCACGTTGACAAGCATTGAGAGGGGCATTGATGATCAAGGGAGGTTGAGGAGCAATAGGAACTAATTCAGCAACAGGAGCACTTTGCAAGCATCTGAGGAAACAGAGAACGCAGAACAAGTACTAAGCACACACAATCTCTACAGCAAACAGCGGTCACCTTGTCCACATATCCTCACCTTGTCTATATTCTGCGGCTCTAGCCCCTCTTCGTGTCTCTGCTCGTATGTGGATGCAATCCAATAGCGGCTGGAGTCTGGTGTGTGCACCTGAGTGGCAAGAGAGTTAGAAGGGGAAGAGCAGGGGAAGGAAAAGGAGAGACAGGGAGGAAAAGAGGGTTGAATTGCAGCCCCTCTGCTCTGCTCGTATGTGGGTGCGATCCAATAGCAGCTGGAGTCGGGTGTGTGCACCTGGGTGGCATAGCATAACAAAGAGAAATCGGGGAGAAGGGGAAGGGTATAGGGAGAGTAGGAGACGAGTAAGGGAATAGCCAAATGAGAGAAGGCAGGGAGAAAAACAGGGCTGAATTGCAGCCCCACTGTGTGCCGCTGCTCACACGCGGGCCCAAATTGCCCCGTCCGAGTCCTCATGCTTCATGACTCATGAACCCTCTTGTCGAGTCAAGTCAAGCAAGCAGCCCTCCTCACCTCGTCGATCAGTCGAATACTCCCATCCGAATCTTTCCCAAACTCATACTTGGTATCCACCAGAAAGAGCCCGTGCTCCCCCGCCACCTGCTGTGGGCGGTGGACTGAGGGTCAACACGACCACCTTGGCTCACCCCATCGATCAGTCGAATGTTCCCATCCGAATCCTTCCCAAACTCGCATTTGGTATCCACCAGAATGAGCCCATGCAGCTCGACCACTTGCTGCTCATGCTGTGAGTGCACTCAGAGCCCTCGCAAGCAGACTCCCTCACCTCACCTCATCAATGAGTCGAATGTTCCCGTCCGAGTCCTTCCCAAACTCGTACTTGGTATCCACCAGAATGAGCCTGTGCTGCCCCGCCACCTGCTGCTTACGGTGTGAGCTTCACCCAGGGCAGGGCACTAGCAAGCAGGTATATACCCACCTCATCAATGAGTCGAATGTTTCCATTCGAATCCTTCCCAAACTCGTATTTGGTGTCCACCAGAATCAAACCGTGCTCCCCTGCCACCTGCTGCCCAAACGCGAACAGCTTCAGCGCCAAGTCCCTGGCCGTCCCAAACTCCTCGCAGGTCATGAGCCCTCGAGTGACGATGTCCACAGACCAGGCCAGCTCACCTCATCAATCAGTCGAATGTTGCCATCCGAGTCCTTCCCAAATTCATATTTCGTATCCACCAGAATCAAACCATGCTCCCCCGCCACCTGCTGTCCGAACGCAAACAGCTTCAGCGCCAGATCTCTGGTGGTTTCAAACTCCTCCCGAGTCATGAGCCCGCGGGAAGCGATCTTCTCTGGGGTGACCGGCTCGTCGTGATCCACCGCTTTCGTGGTGGGCGTCAAAATGTTGGCAGCCAGGCGGTCGTTCTTGCGTAGGCCTGGGTGTGTGTGGGGGAGAGGGACATGGACAGATGGAGAGGAATGGAATTTGTACTCTTGAAGGGCTTCGAGAATGGGCTTCAGTAGCACCCCCCTGGTCGTCTCGAACTTCCCCCGAGTCATGAGCCCGTGGGAGACGATCTCCTCTGGGGTGACCGGCTTGTCATGGTCCGCTGCTTTAGTGGTGGGGGTCAGAATGTTCGCTGCCAGGCGGTCATTCTTTCTCAGGCCTGCACAGGAGGGCAAAAGAGCAGGAGATGGGGGGGTGGGGGGGAGGGAGGGACACACAGAGAGCAACTCCTCCCGGGTCATGAGCCCGCGGGAGACGATCTCCTCTGGGGTGACCGGCTCGTCGTGGTCCGCTGCTTTAGTTGTGGGAGTGAGAATATTCTCCGCCAGGTGGTCGTTCTTGCGCAGACCTGCATAGGAAGGAAAAGGAGAGAGAGCAAGGAGTGGAGGGAGGGTAGTGAGGACGACGATCTCCTCTGGGGTGACCGGCTCGTCGTGGTCCGCTGGCTTGGTGGGCTATCCATCTTCACTTCAGGCAGGTCATTTCCATTTTTGAGGCGCCTCAAAAATAGGCTGCCTTGGTGGGCCATCCATCTTCACTTCAGGCAGGTCATTTCCTTGGTGGGCGTGACAATGTCCTCTGATAGACGGTCGTTCTTGCGTAAACCCGGGTGTGGGGTGGGGGGCCAGCAGGGAGAGTAAAAGAGACGGAATGTAAGGAAAGAAAGGGAGAGAAAAGCAGGAATGATTGTTGGCCTTGAGGGCTCGTCGTGGTTTGCTAGCCTGGTGGTGGGCGTCAGTATGGGGGCTGATAGACCAGGGTGGTGGTCTGCTTGTTCTTGCGCAGGCCTGCAGGGAAGGATGAGAAGGAGTGGGAGGAGAGGAGGAGGGTGGGAAGAGGAGGGTGGGAGGAGGAGGGTGGGAGGAGGAGGGTGGGAGGAGGAGGGTGGGAGGAGGAGGGTGGGAGGAGGAGGGTAGGGGGAGGAGGAGGAGGACAGAGGAGCAAGGTACTGGTTTGCATGAGGTCCCAAATCCCCCCTCTCCTCCCCTGTGCTTTCCTCTCCCCTCCTCACGAATCAACAATGGGTCGTGACATGCTGGCGGTGCTTGTTCACACCCTCTATTTCCCCTCTCCTCTTCTAAAATCCACCCATCTTCAGGCAGGTAATTTCCACAGTACGAGCGGGGCCCCATTGTTGTACAAGGTCCACAGCGACGTGCTGGCTGTGCTTTGCAACATCTCAACGCCCCCCTCTCCTCCCCTCTCCTCTCCTCCCTTTCCCTTTCCTGTCCTGCTCTCACCCACCCACCTTCAGGCAACTCGTTTCCACAGTACGACCGCGCCCCATTGCTGTACACGGTCCACAGCGACGTGCTGGTTGTGCTTCCGGACGTCTCAAACCCCCTCTGCTGCACCGTATCCTTACCTGACAATACCAAAACACACTCACCTTCAGGCAGGTCGTTCCCGCAGTAAGACCGAGCCCCATTGTTGTACACAGTCCACAGCGACGTGCTGGTTGTGCCCGTGATGTATCCTCGCACTGAGAGGGAGCGGGGGAGCAATATAGGGCGCATGGGAGCAATTTAGGGGCGCAAGGGAGCAATATAGGGGCGCAAGGAGAGGGGGAGATGAGTGAGTGTTGAGTCGACTAAGAAGGCACTCCCTGCACAGTCCACAGCGACGTGCTGGTTGTACCGGTGATGTATCCACGCACTGGGGGTTGAGGGGCAAGGAGGGGAGAGAGGGACAAGGAGGAGAAGAAAGGGGGGTTTGAGTGGAGTGTACAGCTTTTCTTTTGCAGTGCAGCCCCATTGTTGTACACTGTCCACAGCGACGTGCTGGTTGTACCGGTGATGTATCCGCGCACTGGAGGACAGAAAAAGCGGTAAAGGGAGTGGGAGAGAGGTGCGTTGAGTAAGTCTTGAGCTGACAAAAGGAGCGCTCCATTGTTGTACACGGTCCACAGCGACGTGCTGGTTGTCCCCGTGATGTATCCACGGACTGGGGGATAACGGGGTTGGGAGGGATGTGAGAGAGTGTTGAGTTGAGTAAGGCCAGAACTGGAATGGGAGAGAACGACCCTTGGGTGCACACAGAGATGAGCCACGGTGGGAGCAATGGGCCGGAGAGCCATGTCCCTCACAGAAACAACTGGTGTAGATATGTTATTTCTGAGACGTCTCAAAAATTACCTATCTACAAGGAGAGCCATGTCCCTCACAGAAACAACAGGGAGGTAAGAACTGAAAGTCAGTCCAAAGGTCAAACTCACCAACAAACTCCACGGGGAAGACTTTGCATTTCCGAAAGATGGTGACATTGGGATCGGGCGAAGAGAGGAAGGCGTTGGGCACGATGGGTGCTGTCTGCTCGAACCACCACGCGCTCGTCTGATTCAGCACCTGGGGACAGGGGGCAAAGGGGAGGGCGGAGGTGGGAGGTTGGAGTGGGAAGGGGAGAGGGATGAGCGGGAACGGAAGAGGTGGGAGACAAGGGGGGATAGGATTGGGGACAACGGGGACGTCTGCGTCTGCCCTAGCCACCACGCATTCGCCTGTAAAATCACCTGATGAAGGCGAAGAGGTTGCTGAGGTTTAGCCAAGGGTTTAGGTGAAACATGTGGCTGCTGCAGTGCCACTTGGACAGGTTTAGCAAGGATTCAGGGTTTAAGCCAGATACACAGGTAAACTCAACCGAGTGAAAAGAGAGGAGAGAGAGTAAAGACATTTCGGCGAGAATGTCGGTGAGTTATTCCAATGTGGCTTACCTGCCATTTCAAAGGTACGGCTGTGAGAAGGACTTTCTAGTCGCCTCAGATCGAAGTGATATTCAGAAAGTCAGGAGTCAGTTAATGCTACGCACGTTGGAGTGACTTACCTGCCCTTTGAACGGTACGGACGCGAGAATCCGGTCGAACGCGCTTTGACGATCTGTGGTTACCACCACAAGCAGTTCTTCGTCCGTGTTGCTGTTACTGTCGCTACTCGCCGCCGAGCCTGCCGCAGGCTTGGCAGTGTACACGTCCCGGACCTTCCCCTCTTGCTTCGGCCCGACCCCAGGCACGCCCTCGAAATCTGATTGGACGAGGCATCGCGATAAGCTCTCCTCGATCGCGACGAGGATTTCTGGCCGTTGATTCAGGTCTAGGTCGATCGCTGACCGTACAGTCATGGACGAGGTGTTTCGCTTTCCCTGGTTGAAGGACAAGGCGCGTGATTTCCAGGAAGCTGCGTGATGTAGGGGAAGGCGAAATGCGGGGAAGGAGGAAAACGAACGGCTTATGGAGGCACTGCCCCTCGTTTTAAGCACATTGTTAACGGAAACAGGCGACTCTTGCAACGAAAAGCGAGTATACGCGAGGGCGCGGGTGGCCATTGCGCAAAGAGCGGCGCAATGCGCGGTGCAAGAGCTGGATTGCTCTACTGAAATGGGGCAATAGAATATTTTTAGGGGAATTTGGACAATGGCGCTGAGTAAGGGGGCGTATTTGGAGAATGTGTTTCGTCAATCGGAAATTAACTGTAACTGAAACGCATCTCGCACTAATCGTTCTAGGACGGTCGTCGATCACGAAACTAGTTACATCAGTACTTGCGAAATCTCGCGAAGTCTTGTCAGCGTCGTTCCAACTGGTTTCGAGAGATGTACTTTGTGATACAAGCCTTCGTGAACAACCCTGAATGCGAAGGCCACGACATGAAACCTGGATTCTGGTTGTAGCGGAAATCCGTTTTACTAGTTCTTGGAATAGCGGGTTCAATAACGAGGACGATGACAGGATCAGTGTTCATCATTAGTGTTCCAGCCCAGCCTGACATGGATCATGGATTTTGCCGGGCTGTTTGCCTGAAAGTACTAGGGAAAGTGCAGTAATATGGTGAAGTAGTGGAATAAGAGAACTATAGGACAGGGCGCAGAGTCACTTCAGTGCACGCCTGCTGTCTCCTCCGTGCCGTCGAGTCCCTCTTTAGAACCCGCATACATCCAGAATTAGCTCTGCAAGCGTATAGTACAGCCTGAATTGTAGACTGAACCGAAGTCTGGATCAAGGTCTGAATCGCGGCTTCTATTGAGGAGCAATGGCGCGGCCTGCGGAGATTTTCCCGCCGCTTTTGGACCGTTTGAACGCTCCGCACCCGTCGGTGCAGCGATTTACTGTAGACGCCATCTTCGCGCGATTCAAGGCGCCGAGCACGGCGCCGCAAACCTGCGCGCCCGCGCGCGAGGCGCTGACGGCGTGCCTGACTCATGCCACGTCAGCCGTGGTGGACCAATCCGTAACGGCGCTTTGCGGGCTCGTCCAATCAGGGCACTGCAAGGCGGATGAAGGTTCGTGGTGGTTTCCTAGTGAAAGGCAATAGGTACCTTTCAGTTTGGAAGGTAAATACCCTCTAGATTTAGCATTCTACCTCTACTATCGTTCCACATTGTAATTTGAATCAAGAATTTATCCACTTTTCCATGTACCCTTCCCAACATCATCACCCTCTGTCCTTTACCCCTCTTCCTCCCCTTCCCTCCAACCGCCCTCCCCCTCCCCCTTGTCCTCCCCCTCCCCCTCTCCCCTTTACCCCTGCAAATCCCCCCATTCCGCCCCCCCAGCGCTGGCGCATCTGCTGGCGGCGCTGCCAGCAGTGCGGGGGGAGGTGGTGGGAAGTGTGTGCGCGGGGGTGGTCGGGATGTACGTGGCGTGCGTCAGGGCTGACGTGGCCTGTGCTAAGGGTGACGTGGCGCCTGCAAGTGGTGACACGGATACACGGGAGGGCGGGGATGGGAGGGAGGGGAGTGGGGAGAAGGAGTGGAGGAGAGGACAACAACGGGAGGTGCCGTGGCGATGGACGGGGGGCACACACCCCTTCACACGGGTAAGCGTGTTCGGCAATAAGGCGATTAGTGTTTTGCACAGGAATTATGACCGGCATATATATATATATTTATATATATATATATATGATGATGATGATGATGATGATGATGATGATGATGATGATGATGATGATGATGATGATGATGATGATGATGATGATGATGATGATGATGATGATGATGATGATGATGATGATGATGATGATGTGGATGATAATCACAAGGTTTGGGGCATCGCTCTCCTTCTGTGGTGAAGCTTCTCTGTGAAGGATGGATTGCTTCCTTCCGCTGCTCCTCGCAGGTTCGTGCGCTGTAAAGCTGTAAACAAGAACGCCAGCCCCGAGCATGCCCTCTTTGAGATGTCTCACATCTCGATTCATGTGCTGTGCTGCTGCGTGCTCTTTCCTTGCCCCTTTTGTTTGTGATTACTCATGTGCTATGCCTGTGTGTGTGCATCCATGCATGATGACGTGGCAAGCAGCTATTGGAGACACGAGACGAGGCGCATCTGCCTCTGCTCCACCACCTCACCCTCCTCCTCATCTCCCCTCCTCCTCTCTCCACCACCCCCACCACCACCACCAAGTCAAACCGCACTACTAGCAATACCAGCAGCATTACCACGATAACCACCAGCAGTGGCAGCAGCGGCGGCAGTAGCAGCAGCAGCAGCAACGACAGGTTTCTTCTTTTCTCCTCCCTCCTCCCTTTCCTCTGCCGAGCCCTCCTCCCCGCCCCCTCCCCGCCCTCCCGCCTCCGCTTCAAGGCCGCCCTCCACACGCGATTGGTCCACGTGGCTGCCACGTCAGCAGACCTGTTCCAGCCAATCACGGCGCTGCTGGTGTCGCTGCTTCCATGGCACATGCTGTCGTCAGCAGTGGTGAGTGGCGGTGTGAGTGGGAGGACGAGGGCGAATTCGCAGTGAGAGTGTGCAGTGATGTGGTGGCGCGTCATTTTTGGGTGCCATTGTTGGGTCTTGCTGCCTCTCTACCACACGCCAATCCCGTGTGTCTCTTGAAGAAAACAACATTTAGTTTTGCCTTCTCGCTTGCTGTGCTTGTTGTGGCACTGCGTGGGTGCTTGCTTGTGTGTGCGTGCGTGCGTGCGTGCGTGTGTGTGTGTGTGTGTGTGTGTGTGTGTGTGCGTGCGTGCGTGCGTGCATGTGCGTGTGTTTGTGCGCACGCGTGTGTGTGTGTTTGTATGTGTGTGTGCACATGTCCATCTCCCACACACCAGGATCGAGAGTCAATGCTGGCATGCTTGGGCGAGCTCATGGATCTGGCCTATGCCACGTCATCATCCACTGAATCCCAACAAACCCAACACCAGATCCCCCAAAGCAACCAACCACACCAATCCCACCACAGCCACCATCCACACTCGCTCCCCTCCCTCGCCACCCGCCTCTCCGCCTGTGCTCTCGCGCTCTCCCTCGAGCTCCAAGCCGCAGGCACCACCACCGCTGCTGGTGCGTCTTCTGCTGCTGCTGCTGCGGCTCCCAGTGCTGCTGCCTGTGCTGCTGCGGGGCTGCCCTCTTGCCTCTTCCTCGTTCAAAAGGCCTCTCTGCTGCGAGCGCGGATTGACTGTCAGAGAGAGGAGGGAGAGAGTGAAAAGGAGGATGTGGGGAGAAGAGAAGGGGAAGATTCCAGCATGCGTGTGGGACAGCTGGGAGGCGTCGTAGGAACGAGAAGGATGGGAAGAGAAAGTTGGGAGTCGGAGGAAGCGGAGCAGCAGAGGGGTGGGGAAGGGGATGCAGTAGAGGTGGTGGGGTTGCTGCGCCTGCTGCTCTGCGGGCTACCAGCAGACGAAGACCACATCGCTGTGCTCGCAGTGCTACAGCAGACCCTCTCCAAGCTGAATCGTGAAGCCGCCTCGTCTTGGCACAAAGGCACACGTGGCAGTGCTTTTGAGTCGACTCAAATGCAGCAGACCCTTTCCAAGCTGAATCGTGAAGCTGCTGAAGCCGCTGAATCGTCTGGGCACAAAGGCACACGTGGTGGTGGCGGTACACAGAGCGCGGCTCCTCTGCTGCTGCAGCCGGCCCTTTCCAAGCTGAATCGTGAAGCTGCTGAAGCCGGTGAAGCCGCCTCGTCTGGGCTCAAATGCACTGGCAGTGGCGGCACACAGAGCGCTGTTCCGCTGCTGCTGCTGCCGCTCCTCCACCTACTTTCCTTCCCGTCGCCTGCCCTCAAGCAAGCTGCAGCACGGGCTATCAATGCCTGCCTCGCTGCTACTGCCACTGCCACTGCCACTGCCACTGCCACTGCCACTGCCACTGCCACTCAGCCTCTCCTCTCCTCGTCCCTGTCGCCCTCTGCTGGATCTGCCAGTAGTAAGCATGCTGCATCAGACCAGCAGCAGCTGTGGCACATGCGGCAGCAGCAGCAGCAGTGGAGACACGCAGACCTCTGGCACACACGTCAGTACGCCCACCTCTTCACCTGCCTCACCTCCTCCCAGCCTCATACATTTTCCTCTCGCTATCCAGTCGCAATCGCCTCGGCCCAACGGCAGCGTGGCACGTGGCACTCGCCGGAAACCTGGGCAAATGAGCCTGTGCCACGTCAGCATGACCTCGCTGGGTCCTCCCCAAGCGCAGACGTGGATGATGAGCTTGCTGACGTGGCAAAGTCGCTGGCGCTTTCAGACGGGAGAAGCACGCTGGCAGGAGCACCAGGTGGGGTGCATGGGTGCCACGTGTCAGGCTCTAATAGGTGGCTTCTGGCGCTACAGCAGCAGCTGAATCAGATCCGGAAAGAGACAGTGAGAAAGGCAGGGAGGGAAACATCAGCAGGCATCGGCATGAGTCAATCTCTGATCCTCTCACTCGCAGCTCTCCTCCTCCCACTCTCCACCCTCCACCCCTCCCCCTCCCTCCGCTCCTCCTCCCTCCTCTCCCTCTCCCGCCTTGCCTCCTGTGAGCCTATCTGGGCTCTCTCCCTGCTGCCAGCTGTCCTCTGGAGTTTGAGCCACGTGGCACAAGGAGTGGTGGGCGGGGAGGGAGAGGTGGGGGGAGAGAGAGGGGTGAAGGAAGGCGGGGGGAGGGGAAGCGGTGACGCGGGCGGCAAGTCTTGTCTTCAAGTGCTCTGCGTCCTGCCGAGCCTTGCGAGGCACTGGCTGGCTGCTGGTCCTGTGGTGCAGGTCCTGACAAAGCTTGCCGGCCAGAAGTCCCGCCCGTACGTAGTTCCATTTCCTCTGCGTTTTTCCTGACAGACCCTGGAGCCCTTGTGTTCTGAGTTTTTTTTTCCTCACTCTGCCACCCTCCCTCCCACTGTCTCTGTTTCCCCTCCCCCTCCACCTCCCCCTCCCCCTGTGGCTCTGCGGCTGTTGCAGCAAGCCTGGGCCATCACGGATCGCATCTTCCCCTCCCTGCAGCCGCTGCTGCTGCCGCTCGTGCTCCTCTTACCCTGTTCCCTCTATTTTCCCTCCCTCCTGCCCCGTCCACTCCCCTCCCTTCAGTCTCCTCGCGTCTGTGGCTCTGCGGCTGCTGCAGCAAGCCTGGGCCATCACCGACCACATCTTCTCTCTCTCTCCCCACCTTTCCCTTTTTCGCTTTCCCCCCCTCCAGTCTTCTCGCATCGGTGGCTCTACGGCTCCTCCAACAGGCCTGGGCCATCACCGACCGCATCTTCCCCTCCCTGCAGCCGCTGCTGCTGCCGCCCTCCCTCTCCCTCCCCAAAAGCATAAGAATAACCAACACCAGCAGCACAGCTAGCAGTGATGTGGGGGGAGGAGAGGTGATGGTGCTGGCAGCAGCAGCGAGCATACGGGGAGCCACGACACGGACCGGGCAGTGCGGCTGGTGCTGTCAGTGCAGGCGGCTATCGAGTCACCAAGCCCTCTTGTTGCTGCCTTGGGTCTCGACGCCCTCGCTGCTCTCTGTGCTGCTGATGCCGTGGGTAAGTCCTTGTTTCAGCACAGAGGGTAGTTCTAGTGAAGGTACATGTGAGGGAGGGGGTTGATCACACGGACCGGGCAGTGTGGTGCGGCTGGTGCTGTCAGCGCAGGCTGCTATCGAGTCACCAAACCCTCTCGTTCCTGCCTTGGGTCTTGACGCCCTTGCTGCTCTCTGCACTGCTGATGCTGTGGGTAAGCCTTTGCTCCATCTAGAGCGAATGTCTGACTTGGTGAAGGTGCATGTGGGGGAGGTGCAGTGCGCCTGATGCTGTCAGTGCAGGCTGCTCTCAAGTCGCCAAGCCCTCTTGTTGCTGCCTTTGGCCTCGACGCGCTTGCTGCTCTCTGTACTGCTGATGCTGTGGGTAAGTCTGTCAGAACTGCAGGGTAGATCTGGTGAAGGTATGAGTAAGATCTGGGGAGGAGGTGCAGTGCAGTGCAGTGCGGCTGGTGTGCTGTCAGTGCATCTGCGGCATCCCACTGGCTCTCAGTGCTATCGAGTCACCTAACCCTCTTGTTGCTGCTTTGGACCTTGGCACGCTTGCTGCTCTCTGTGCTGCCGACGCCATGGGTGGGTCCTTTCAGAGCAGAAGCAGGTCTGGCAAAGTTGCATGTGGTGGAGGGAGGTAGTGTGATGCTGCTGCTGATTCGCCCATCCGCTATTGTGTGGACAGGGAGGAAGTGTGCTGCCTTTGGCCCTGTGCTTCCCGCTTTGCCCCATCCCTACCCGTCACTTCCTCTCCCTGCCCCTCCCGCTTCAACCCATCTCAATCAACAACCACTTCAGATTTCTTTACGGCGTGGAAAGTGGTTTCCCGATCACACCCCTCCCTGCCCGCGCATCCAGAAATACTGAAGCAAATCAGTACCCCCCTTCCCTTCCCCCACCACAGATTTCTTTACGGCGTGGAAAGTGGTTTCCCGATCACACCCCTCCCTGCCCGCGCATCCAATCACGGCCGCCCGCTGGTGCCACCTGCTGCAATCCGCTGCTCTCGACGCCGCGGCCTATCCCGACGCGACACGTGGCATCATGGAGGGCCTGTGGGAAGCTGCCAGGAAAGGGAGGGAGGGGGAGCTGATAGAAGGAGGAGGGGGAGGAGGGGGAGAAGGGAAGAGGGAATGGAGGCAGACTCGTGCTGCTGCGTTTACTGCACTTGCTGCGTTCACGGTACCCCACCCACCACGCACTCTTCCAGCTCCTCTTGATAGGCAGGCACTGTTGAAGCCTCGCTAGGTCATGCCCTGGGTCTGCTAATGAATTCGTTTTTTGTTTGTTTGTTTTTTTTTTTTTTTTTTTTTTTTTTTCTTTGTCCGTTTTTTCCAAACCTCCGTTCATGCTCCTCCCTCCCTCCCTCCTCGCCTCCCCAGCTGGATGACGTCACAGCCACATGGCCCAGCACCCACCTCGCGCTATCCTTCCTCTCAGAGCTCTGCCCTGCTGCGCGCCAACCCATGCTGCCCCTGCTCTCCCAACAGGTGGATGACGTCACAGCCACATGGCCCTACCCCAGCACCCACCTGGTTCGAGCCTTCCTCTCAGAGCGCTCTCGTTTTGTTCGCCAATCCATGCTGCCCCTGCTCTCCCAACAGGTGGATGACGTCACAGCCACATGGCCCTACCCCAGCACCCACCTGGTTCGAGCCTTCCTCTCAGAGCGCTCTCGTTTTGTTCGCCAATCCATGCTGCCCCTGCTCTCCCAACAGGTGGATGACGTCACAGCCACATGGCCCTACCCCAGCACCCACCTGGTTCGAGCCTTCCTCTCAGAGCGCTCTCGTTTTGTTCGCCAATCCATGCTGCCCCTGCTCTCCCAACAGGTGGATGACGTCACAGCCACATGGCCCTACCCCAGCACCCACCTGGTTCGAGCCTTCCTCTCAGAGCGCTCTCGTTTTGTTCGCCAATCCATGCTGCCCCTGCTCTCCCAACAGGTGGATGACGTCACAGCCACATGGCCCTACCCCAGCACCCACCTGGTTCGAGCCTTCCTCTCAGAGCGCTCTCGTTTTGTTCGCCAATCCATGCTGCCCCTGCTCTCCCAACAGGTGGATGACGTCACAGCCACATGGCCCTACCCCAGCACCCACCTGGTTCAAGCCTTTCTCTCAGAGCCCTCTGCTGCAGTACGCCAAGCCATGCTCCCCCTGCTTACCAAACTGGCTGACTATCAACACAGGACCCGACCCCGGGGTCGGAGGGCTGTGGTGCTGGGAGGAGGAGAGGGGGCAGAGGGTGACGTGGCGTCTGCTGCCACGTCAGCCGGTGCGCCTGGTGCCGCCACGTGGCGGTCGAACAAGCTCCTGGCGGCGCTGCCCCGGCTGTTGTGTCCAGAGAGCTTCGGCGGCCGCAAGGGAAAAGACGGACTTGGTAAGGTTGATTGCTGAAGCATCAACGTATTCTGTATAGTATACAGCTTGAAGGTTGCCCTTTGTCACGCGTTGCCCCCTTCGCCTTCTGCCCATAATCGCTTGTGAACAAATAAAACCACCTAGCCCTTCCCTCCTTTTCCATCTCCCCCAGATGTGCCTCTTGCCTCCTTGCTTGTATTTTTTAGGCAGCCTCAAGTCTGCATTCTCTCTCTCACCCTCTCTCCCATTTTTCTGATCAACCTCCCCCAGATGTACCTGCTGCCGCCTTGCTGCTGGTGCCGCCACCACCGCCAGAGCCGCTGTCAGGCGCATCTGCTGGCAGTGCCAGGCAGGCGCGGGTAGACCTGGAGAAGGTGGGGACTGGGGTAGGCGTGTGTTGTCGCTGGTGGTAGGGGGGGTCTGTTTTTGAGCCGCATCTGCTGGCAGTGCCAGGCAGGCTCAGGTATACCTGGAGAAGGTGGGGACTGGGGTAGGCGTGTGCTGTCGCTGGTGTGGGATCTCTTTGTGAGAGTTTGGTGCAGAGAATTTGAACCAATCACAGGGCATTTGTGGGGAATTTCCGTTTTAAAGCTTGGTTGGGATTCTCTGTAGGTCGTGCTTCGCTGCTGAGCATTTGTAAGTATGTGCACTGAACACAAAAACTAAATGAGTTTTCCCTCTCTCCCCGCTCTCCTCCCTCCCCCTCTTCATTCATCCCTCCTCCCCAGGCTCTCAAGGAAAGGGATGCGCACTTCCACCGCATCTTCCTGGAAGCTTCTCAGTCTCTCAGCCGCCCGGCCTTCTTCCCGCTGGTGCTCTCCTCTCTCGCCGCCTGGACCCACTTCATGCGCCAATGGTATCGCGCCAGGTGTCGCCTCCTGCACGCCACAGCCTCCGCCTCCCCTGCTGGTGGTGCTGCTACAGCTGCTGCAGCAGTGGGAGGGGGAGCAGCAGGGGGAGGGGGAGCAGGGGGACCTGTTCCCCCAGGCGACGTGCCGGCAGCAGCAGCAAGGGGGCTATGGTCAACAGTAACCCAAGGGTTTGACAGCGGTATTCCAGTGCAGGCAGAGAACAGTGCTCTCGCCCTCGCCGCTCTCTGCCAAGCCTTGCCGCCCGCCCTCCACCCCCTTGTCGCCTCTGCAGCTGATCTGCTCCGTGGGCGGCTCAAAGATGGGGGGACCGGGGGAGGGGGCGGGGGGGAGGCGGGGGAAGGGGAAGAGGAGAGAGGGGGAGGGGGAGGGGGAGGGGGAGGAGGAGGGGGGAGGAGAGGGGGAGTGGGTGGGGAAGGGAGGGGGGTGGGTGGTGCAGGGTGGGTGGCGGTGAGTGGGTGGGCGGATGCTCTAGCACTGGGGGCTGTGGGAGCGTGCCTTCATGCTACGGATGCCCACATGCGCCTCAGGATTGCCATTCTGCTCACCAAGGTAAGCCGTTGTGCTCACTAGAGGTAGCCAATTTACATGTGAGACTCATGCTTGACTGAGACATGCGGTGAGTGGGTGGGCGGATGCTCTAGCGCTGGGGGCTGTGGGAGGGTGCCTTCACGCCACTGACGCCCACATGCGCCTCAGGATTGCCATTCTGCTCACCAGGGTAAGCCAATTTACATGTGAGACTCATGCTTGACTGAGACATGCGGTGAGTGGGTGGGCGGATGCTCTAGCGCTGGGGGCTGTGGGAGGGTGCCTTCATGCCACTGACGCCCACATGCGCCTCAGGATTGCCATTCTGCTCACCAGGGTAAGCCAGTTCACATGTGAGGCTATGCGTGACCGATGGATGCTCTAGCGCTGGGTGAGCAGAATGGCTCTTCTCAGAATACCCTGGTGAGCAGGTAAAGGTCTTACCCTGGTGAGCAGAATGATTTTTCTCTGGCACCCCTCTTACCACTTTCTCTCGTCCCCTAGCCACTTGCTCCCACCTTCCTGCTACTTCCTCACACCCTTCTGCCATTTCCTCTGTCATTCCTCCAGCCACTGCCACCTGCATTGGTGCCACTGTGTCCCGCGCCCCAGCCACTGCCACTCGCCCTGCTTCCACTACATCCCATGCTCCAGCCATTGCCGCTCGCCCTGCTGCCACTGCATCCCACGCTCCAGCCACTGCCGCTCGTTCTGCTGCCATTGCATTCCACGCTCCAGCCACTGCCGCTCGCCTTCTGCTGCCATTGCATTCCACGCTCCAGCCACTGCCGCTCGCCCTGCTGCCAGTGCCACAGTGGCTGGGGCGTGGGGTGCAGTGGCAGCAGGGCGAGCGGCAGTGGTTGGAGCGTGGGGTGCAGTGGCAGCAGGGCGAGCGGCAGTGACTGGAGCGTGGGATGCAGTGGCAGAAGGGCGAGCGGTAGTGGCTGGAGCGTGGGGTGCAGTGGCAGCAGGGCGAGCGGCAGTGGCTGGAGCGTGGGGTGCAGTGGCAGCAGGGCGAGCGGCAGTGGCTGGAGCGTGGGATGCAGTGGCAGCAGGGCGAGCGGTAGTGGCTGGAGCGTGGGATGCAGTGGCACCAGTGCAGGTGGTAGTGGCAGGAGGAATGGCAGAGGAAATGGCAGAAGGGTGTGAGGAAGTAACAGGAAGGTGGGAGCAAATTGCTAGGGGACGTGAGAAAGTGGTAAGAGGGGTGCCAGAGGGGTCACCAGAACACCTGACTGGGTCGAGTTTTGAGTCGACTCAGAAGTGCGACTGAGGATAAGGCCTTTACGTGACTGACTACTAAGGGGTTTGATTGATGCACCTCAATCCTTTTTTTACCCCCACCTTACTCCACCCTTTCTGTTCCACACCAAAACTGTTTTTTTTTTTCCCAAAAAACCTTCCTCTCACTCTTCCATCCTCCTGCCCCAGATTCTTAACCAATCAGGAGCTGACAGCTCGCTCCGCTTCGCAGCTGCTGTCTCCCTCGGGACCATCGCAGCACGCCAAGTGGCACTCTCCCATTCGTCAACCACAGAAGGCACCACCACCAGCACTAGCAGTGGTACCAGTGGCAAGAATGCTGACTCAGCATCAGCAGCAGCAGCAACAGCAGTGCGAACGCTCTGCTCTGTGATTGGTCGGTCCTCCTGCCAGTCTCTCAGGGAGCTGGCGCAGGTTCTGAAGAAGCTTCCTGGGGAGATGGGGCGGGCGGTCACTGTAGCATTGGCAGAGGCAGAGGGGGGAAAGGGGGAGGTTGGAAGGGGGGAGAGCGAGGGAGAAATGGGATTGGATGTGGGAGGAGATGAAGGGGAGGAGTGGGGTTTGGGGGGAGCGTTATTAGGCCTTGCTGTTCTCACCACTTCTTTCACCTCTTCCCCCTCCTCCTCCTCCTCTTCCTCTCCTTCCTCCTCTTCCTCTCCTTCCTCCCCTTCCTCCCCCCACCTCGCCCTCCTTTACTCCTTCGCTTCCCTTCTCTTCCAATGGACCCAAGCCTTTGCCCACTCGCTGACATCAAACCAGAATGTATGTTCCCCAGGCAAACCTTCCTCAGTTGTACCTCCCCCGCTAGTGGACGGATGGGGCGACCCCATCGCCCCACCCACCCCGCCATCTTCTCTGGACTCTCCCTCGGCCAATTATGTGCCGCCACCTGTCCTCGCAGCAGCAGCTGCGCTGGCACTGCCCTTGATAGCAGAGTGTGGGGTGAGGGGGGGGAGAGAGGCCGGGGGAGGGGGAGGGGGAGGGGGAGGGGGAGGGGGAGGGGGAGGGGGAGGGAGAGGAGGAGGGGGAATGCTAGAGAGAGAGGGAATGGGGGGTATACCAGTGGAGGAGGGAGGTGGGGAAGGGTCCTTCTCCAAGCCTTTCAAGTGGTCACAGGATGAACGGATTGAGGAGAAACAGATGACTTTTGAGGCGCCTCAAAGGTCCTTTTCGGCACCGTTCAAGTGGTCACAAGATGAACGGATCGAGGAAAAGCAGATGGCAGATTGGACCGACGGACTGAGGAGAACATTTCAAGAAGTAATGCACTTGAAGCGACAGCCACTACTACTCCCCGTACCTCTAGACCAATCCCAAGCAGATTCCCTCTCTCTCCTATCCCTGCCGCAGTTGCCGCTGCCCCAGCTGCCAGCAGGGTCGGTGTTAGATGAAGAGGCGTTGCTGCTGCTGCACGCGCAGCACCAGCAGCAGTACCAGCAGTACCAGCAGCACCTGGGTCAGCACCAACAGCAGCAGCAGCACCACCACCACCAGCAGCCACATTCAGGCTCCGTTCTCTTTCCTCTTGGCGAGAATTTCGCAGCCACTGGCCCCCCCACGAACAGAGACCCTTATGGCGCTTATGCCGAAGCAGACTGTACGGGAGCAGCCAACACCGCACCAGCAGCAGCAGCAGCAGGCACCGGGGCAGCATCTCGCGGCCCTCCCCCGGTGTTCCTCTCTGCAGTGTCACTCTCTCTAGCTGCCATGGTGCATGCCTCCCTGTGCTCTGACGTTGCCTTGCCTCTTGGAGCTATCACTGACGTCCTCTCTCCCCTGCTGGCTGCTGTCAAAGGGGAGAAGGGAACCGGCTCTGCTGCTTCTCCTGCCACTGCTTCTGCTGGTTTTAAAGCTGCTTCTGCTGCTGAACCTGCTGCTTCTGCCGCTGCTGGTTTTGTTACTGATTCTGCACCATCAGCGGGACTGCTACCCAGCAGTGTGAGGGGAGCAGCAGGCATGGCAGTGGCAGCACTGCTAGGGGCGCCTCTGCTTCTCACCCCCCTCCCAGCCCACCGTACACAGCAGCACCCTCCTTCTGCCTCTGCTATCTCTGCTTCCGCTCCTGCTCCTGTTGCTCCTGCCGCTGCCGCTGCCGCTGGTGCTGGTGCTACAACTAATCCTGCTGCTGCCGGCGCTGCTACCACTGTCACAACCAGTGGCGCCAGCTCAGCAGCAGCCAATCAGATCCTGGTGATTGGCCCACTGCTCTTCTCCCCGAGCGACGCGGTCCAATCATCCGTCAGGGACGCTCTGCAGTCATTGGTCGAGGCGTACCGGCGCGACTGCCACGTCAGCGTCAAGCGCCAGGCTGGCTGGGCGCTGGCGCTCTGTGTGGAAGCTTCCCGGAAACTCTCAGGCGAAGGGGACGAGGAGGAGGATGAGGATGAGGAGGAGGAGGGTGGGGGGTGGGGAGGAGTAGCAGGAGGAAGAGGGGGAGGAGGGAGAGGAGGAGGGGGTGCGGGGAGGAGGGGAGGGGGAGAGGAGAAGCAGTGGTTGCTGAATCAACTCCCTGCTGATAATGTGCTGCGGCTGCTGTCATCTTGGCTGCTAGAGAGGAGTCTGCACGTGGGGGCAGGAGCGGGCAGCCTGTGGGTGAGTTCTGTAAGGGGCTTGGTGAGTGTATGGAAAGGCTATGGTGGAATGTGTGTTGGGTCAGTGCCTTGAACCGCAGGCCTTGCCAACAATGTGCTGCGGCTGCTGTCATCTTGGCTGCTAGAGAGGAGTCTGCACGTGGGGGCAGGAGCGGGCAGCCTGTGGGTGAGTATGTGGATGGAAGGACTATGGGGGGTTGAATGTTGTCATCTAATCATGTGCTGCTGACAGTGTGGTGCGGCTGCTGTCACCTTGGCTGCTATAGACAAGTCTGCACGTGGGGGCAGGAGCGGGCAGCCTGTGGGTGAGTGTGTGAGGGCTGTGAGTGGGTGACTGAGTGCACGTGGTGACTTTTGAGTCGACTCAAAAGCCACCTCAAAAGTCGAGTCGACTCAAAAGTCAGCCTGTGGGTGAGTGTGTGAGGGCTGTGAGTGACTGACTGAGTGCACACGTGGGGAATAGAGGGAGAGTGTGAGGGAGTGAGAAGTGTATGCACACAATAACTGTATGCACACAATAAATGTATGCACACAATAAATGTATGCACACAATAAAGTGTATGCACACATCAAAGTGTATGCACACATCAAAGTGTATGCACACATCAAAGTGTATGCACACATCAAAGTGTATGCACACATCAAAGTGTATGCACACATTAAAGTAAGTAATACCACGATCCCCCTCTCCTCTCCTCTCCGCCCTCCTCATCCCTTCCCTCTCCTTCCCCATTCCTCTCCTTCCTCACCTTCTCCTCCTCAACACACAGGACACTGCCAGCGTGCCAGCTGTCGCGTCCTCATTGGCCCTCCTCGCCCACGCCCCTCGAATCCCCTCCCTGGACTGGCCCTCCATCCTTCACCGCTTCATCCGCCGGGTCTCTGTGACCCCCCCCGCCTCCCATGCTGCTCTGCTGCTGTTCCCTCCCTCCACTGCTGCTTCAGCAGCGGCAGCAGGGCCACTGGGAGGAGGGTCTGTAGAGGCATCAGTAGCAGGAGGGATTTCAGCAGCAGCAGGAGCAGCAGCAGATGCAGACAAACTACGCTGTGCGTGCCTCCACTTCGCCGCCCACCGCGGGATCGTCCCCTTCCTCGATGACCTCACCGCTGACGTCAGCAGGCTCGTCCAGCTGGCGCCGGCGGTGCAGCGAGCGCTGCTGTCGCGACACCTGGCGGCCGTGGTGGGGCTGTTTTCCCAGGAAAGATCTCGGAAGCTTCTGAGAGACGTGATGGGGCTGGTGAGGACGTATATGGCTGCTGCTTCTGGTGCCGCTGCTGCTGCTGCTGCTGCTTCTGCTGCTGCTGCTACCACTGCTGCTACTGCTGCTGCCGCTGCTCCTACCAGCAGTGCTCATGCCGCCACTGCTGCTTCTGCTACTGGTGCTGTTACTGTTGCTGCTGCTGCTGCTGTTGTTTCTGGTGCTGCTGGTGCTGCTGATGGTTCAGAGGAAGGGCAAGGAGAGGCCACTTCTGAGTGGTTCCGGAAAAAGCCGACGCCACTAACAGCAGCAGCAGCCGCACCTGTTTTAGAAGCACCAGCAGCCAACGCAAAAGCAAAAGAAGCGGCGGCAGCAGTGGGTGCAGGGGAGGCTGCAGCAGCAGCTGCTGCTGTGAGGGTCTGGGCTTGGATGGGACTAAGGGACATTCTATCCATTTCTTGCTCTCAAGACAAACCAGAGAAGGCAGCGGAAGAAACACAGGCCTCAGCGGGACATTCTAGGGCTCATGCGTTGGTATCATGGAGGCGTGATGCTGATAGTGCTGCTGCTGGTGCTGCTGCTGATGCTGCTGGTAGTGGTGGTGGTGGCAGAAGTGGGGGTGGTGGGGATTCATATTCCAGTAACAGCATTGGGGTGCAGTTTGGGGGTGGGATGGTGGAGGCAATGGCGTGGGCGTGTGTGAGCGAGCTCCTGAGATCCCTCCCCCTGCCACGCCCCATGCGGATATCCCCAAGTCAAGGCCAAAGTCAAAATCAAGGTCAAGTACCTATCTTGAGGGAGGATTCGAGGGAGGCTGTGCGGGCGAGCAGCCAATGGGAGGGCGACAGCTGGCCGCTGGACGAGAGTCCCGAGTGGCGGGCGGCGGTGGAGTGCCTTGGAGTGATGCGGAGAGAAGACGTTTTGGGGATAATCAAGATTCCCACACCATCAGCATCAGCAGCAACACCACCATCAGCAGCAGCAGCATCACCTGCCCCTTCCGCCTCCCCCAGTACCCACCTCCCCCGCCTCCCATTCTCCCCAGCAGCAGTCCGCGCAGTCGCCATGCGGCTCCACCTCCTGCGAATCAACCCGCGCCACCTGTCCCTTGCTGACGTGGCGCCGTGCCGCGTGTTTCTCTGCGAGCACCCGCTGCCAGGTCAGCTCGGGATGATGACTTGGCGTGAAAGCAGGGAACCCTCCTCGTTTGAACGATGTGGGGAGAAGATTGGAAATATGCATGCAGCATAGCAGGGACATGCAGCAAATCTCTTCCCCATAAACACATTTCCCTGACGTCCCCCCTGTCTATCTCTTCCCTCTCTTTCCCCTTCTACCCACTCCAATCCTTTTGAGGCGCCTCAAAAGTCCCCCCTGTCTATCTCTTCCCTCTCTTTCCCCTTCCACCCACTCCAATCCTTCACCAGCAACCTACACATGGCTACTGGTGGAGCTAGCGAGTGCCGTGGCAGCAGCACTCCCGATCTACATGTATGACAATATCTGAGTGTCCCCACCACACATATCCCTCCCCTCTTCCTCGCTTTCTCCCTCTCCCCCTCGCAGCAACCTACACGTGGCTACTGGTGGAGCTAGCGAGTGCCGTGGCAGCAGCACCAGAGGAGCATCGCCTGCCCTTCCTCCTCGACACACTCGACTCCATCCAAGTCGCTCGCCACCCCTGGACGGTACGTTGATCATCACACTCAGGGAACACAGGGTTCACATGAGCAGCACCGGAGGAGCATCGCCTGCCCTTCCTCCTCGACACACTCGACTCCATCCAAGTCGCTCGCCACCCCTGGACGGTACGCTGCTTGCTTAGATACGCTCAGGGGCCTCACAACAGTTTTGCGGCGCCTTGAGCCTCCACCAACAGGTTACAGGTAGACACAAGGGTTTGCGGCTCTGGTGAGAATGAAGGGTTCACATGAGCAGCACCAGAGGAGCATCGCCTCCCCTTCCTCCTCGACACACTCGATTCCATCCAAGTCGCTCGACACCCCTGGACGGTATGCTGCTCACACACAGAGAACAAATAACAGGATGTTCCCCCGGACAGTATGCTACTCCCTGCCTACTAGGCTGCTACCCCCTGCATGCTGCGTTGCTCAAACGCAATCAGGGGCCTCATTCGGAGCATTTTTTAGGTACCTCAGAGCACCAGCAGGCTCGAACCTCCCTTTTGAGGCGCCTCAAAAGAGCACCAGCAGGCTCGAACCTCCCTTTTGAGGCGCCTCAAAAGAGCACCAGCAGGCTCGAACCTCCCTTTTGAGGCGCCTCAAAAGAGCACCAGCAGGCTCGAACCTCCCTTTTGAGGCGCCTCAAAAGAGCACCAGCAGGCTCGAACCTCCCTTTTGAGGCGCCTCAAAAGAGCACCAGCAGGCTCGAACCTCCCTTTTGAGGCGCCTCAAAAGAGCACCAGCAGGCTCGAACCTCCCTTTTGAGGCGCCTCAAAAGAGCACCAGCAGGCTCGAACCTCCCTTTGTCTGGTGAGAATGAAGGGTTCACATGAGCAGCACCGGAGGCCCATCGTCTGCCGTCCTCTCCCCCGCCCGCCTGCTCCTCATCCCCACCAGCCACTCTGCTTCTATGTCCTTAGCTTCCCCTTCTTCCTCTCCGTTCCCCCCTTCCTGTTCTGCTTTTACTCCCCTTCAAGCAGGCTCTGCAGCTCTTGTCTCTCATGCTCGCACGCCTCTCCCCCGACCGCCTTCTCCTCCCCACCAGCCATTTCTCTGCTTCTGTGTCATTACTGTTCCCATCTTCCCGCCCCTTTCCCCCCTCCCCCATCACCCTCCCTAAGCAGGCTCTGCAGCTCTTTTCTCTCATGCTCGCGCGCCTCTCCCCCGACCGCCTGCTCCTCCCCACCAGCCATCCCTCTGCCTCCATGTCGTCACCTTCCCCTCATCTCTGTCCCCTCCTGTCCCACCCTCCCCCTTCGCCCCTCCCTCCCAAGCAGGCTCTTCAGCTCTTTGCACTCATGCTCGCCCGCCTCTCCCCCGACCGTCTGCTCCTCCCCACCAGCCCCACGGCAGCAGTCTTCCTCCTGCCGCACACCCTCCCTCCTCTCCTCTCCCAGCGTGGCCTAGCCGGCACTGTGGGAGCCATAGTTTCTCGCTTCCAGTCGCTGCTGTCGTGGCTGTCAGATGAGAAGGAGTGCCTGTTCTGGGAAGATGGGGTTGATCCAAGCCATGGTAGTAGTAGCTATCAGCGGGTGCAGGTGCTGAGGGGAGTGGTGGTGGATGTGTTGTGGTCTCTGCGCCACCATCTGCCCTCCCATGCCGTGTCCAGTATCTGTCTCGCCAACGTTGCTTTTCAAAGAGCGTGAGGCTCTGTGGGAGCCATAGTCTCGCGATTCCAGTCGCTGCTGTCGTGGCTGTCAGATGAGAAGGAGTGCCTGTTCTGGGAAGATGAAACTGGTCCAAAACGTGGTGGCAGCAGCAGTGGCGGTACCAGTGGCGGAAGCAATGAGCGGGTGCGGGTGCTGAGGGGAGTGGTGGTGGATGTGTTGAGGGCTCTGCGCCACCATTTGCCCTCACATGCTGTTTCCAGTATCTGTCTCGCCAATGTCTTGTCGCAAAGAGATTGAGGCTCCGTAGGAGCAGCCATAAGGACAACAAGCAGGTACGGGCGGTGCTGGGAGTGGTGGTGAACGCGTTGAGTTGAGTCATATTTCGTGTTTCCAGTCTGTAGCAGTGGCAGCAGCAGCAATCACTGAATACGAGTGCTGAGGGGAGTGGTGGTGGACGTTTTGAGGGCTCTGCGCCACCATTTGCCCTCACATGCTGTCTCCAGTATCTGCCTTGCCAACATCTCTTTGCAATAAAGTAGTGGCTCCATAGGAGCCAAGGTCTCACGCTTACAGTTGCTGCTGTCAGAGGTGGCAATAGCAGCAGCAGCAGCAGCAGCAGCAGCAGCAGCAGCAGCAGCAGCAGCAATGAGAGGGTGCGGTTGTTGAGGGGAGTGGTGGTGGACGTGTTGAGGGCTCTTCGCCACCATCTGCCCTCACATGCCGTCTCCAGCATCTGTCTCGCCAACGTGACAACGTCTTGTCGCAAGGAACTTGAGGCTCCGTAGAAGTCATTGTCTCGCGTTTCCAGTCACTGCTGTGGCATCTGCATTGGTGGCAATGAGCGGGTGAGGGTTCTGAGGGGGGTGGTGGTGGATGTGCTGAGAACTTCGCCCTCATACGCCGTCGCTTTGTGATGGTCAGGAGAGGAGACAAAAAATATTTTGTTCATATGTTCACATTTGATGTGTCTAGTGGTAATACGTAGTTTAGGGGTCGGGGTGCCTTGTGTAGAAAATATGATAACATTCACAACTGGATACACCATGCTGGTGTGTAGTAACAGCATGCTGGAACAATGTCAAGCATCAAGTAAACTTCCGGGCAAGGTAACTTGCTGTCTCAGAACGGCCAGCTGCCAATTCGAGCATACCAGTACTCTCATTATTTCTGGTGGAACTACCGTAGGTCCCCAAGACCACCAGTCGTTCCCAACTTCCCAGTGCTTTCTACATACCCCCCAAAATCACCCACCATCATGTTTCCATGGAAAAATCAAGGTTCTTGTGTACCATAGCAGAGTGATACCGTACATGGAAATCCGATCACCAGTTGTGCCACAGGTGGGCATCAGCTCCCTCATCAAACCCACTTGACGACGCCAGTGCCTGCAACTCGAGCCTCTTGCTGTACTTGGCTCGCCGTCTCTCGTCGTACTCCTCCCACCCCTCAATCTGCCGGGTGCAAATGGAGTGGATGGAAGTGGGAAAATGGCAAAAGTTTGGGAAAGTGTAAGGCATCAGCGCCTGCATCCAACCCACTTGACGACGCCAGTGCCTGCAACTCGAGCCTCTTGCTGTACTTGGCTCGCCGTCTCTCGTCGTACTCCTCCCACCCCTCTGTCAAGAGCACATGGAGTGGTGGAAGACGAAAAGAGGCACAAGTGTCACGTAAGGAATATACTTTTGAGGAGCCTCAAAGCTCATCTCTTATCATACTCCTCCCCACCCTCAATCTGCCAAGCGCGATGTTGTGGGTCAAGTCAGTGGGTTGCGTCAAACGCATACAGAAGGTAATATCCGTTTGAGCCTTATTAGGGAGAGTGAAAACATCTCTGTGCACCCTCTGAATCGATTCAAAAGCTCTTGTACCTCGCGCAGTTGGTCCATGGTGATTTGGTTGCCATGCAGGGAGAGAGTGAAGAGCTCCGTGCACCCTGTTAGCACCTCCGAGGGGAAGTTCTTGATCGCATTGTTGCTCAGCAGCAAGATCTGCACGGCAGAAAACGACACAGATGAAAAATACAATCAATTTGCTAACAAAATTAAAATTCTCTGACGTCATCCCCAACCCACTTTCTCCCTTTCCCTCATCACACCCCACCTTCTCACTTCCCCTCCCCCCACACTCCTCCTTCTCCCCCCACCACTCCTCCAACCCAACTTCGTCAAACTCTCACCTTCAGATTGGTGAGTCTACCCAGAGCAGCTGGCACGTGGCAGATGAAGTTTGCTGAGAAATTGGCCTGCAGGACAGGGTTGGTTGGTGTCATAAACCACAGTCAGGCTAAGATTATAATTCACACGTGACGCAACAGCAAAAGGCAGAAACAGGAAGTGGCTGAAAGGGTAATATTCTGGGCAAGGGATCAACAGCACCTCTGCAAGAGACGTGCATTCTGCCATGGAAGGTGGGATGATCCCCAACCTGCAAACAGAGACAGGAAAGGGATCGAATATTTCATTTCAAGAAGAGGCAAGCTGCAAAAATCACTGAGCAGCAAAAATCGGTACTAATAACAACTGGATAATAAAGACAAGTGGGGCAATTGGCATTGAAAAACAATTTGAAATAGCAACTCAAACAAAAAGCAATAAATTGACACCTGGGCTGGGCACCCATGTATATCGGAATGCCACCTGGCTGTCGTCGTCACCTGTTATGAGCAGCATCGATCCACTCGAGGTTCTTCAGCCGAGCGATCTCCGGGGGCAGGGAGGAGAGGGCGTTGTGACTTTTGAGTAAACTCAAAAGGCACTCAAATGTACGTTGACATGCTACCTGGCTATTGTCACCTGTTATGAGCAGCATCGATCCACTCCAGGTTCTTCAGCTGGCCAATCTCTGGCGGCAGCGAGGAGAGGGCGTTGTGGCTGAGCGCGAGTCTCTTCAGCGAGGAGAGCTGGCCGATGATGGACGGAATGAGCCCTATTCTGCAGCACCGAGCAAGGGATCCAAGGGGAAAGGGGATTGTTTCAGGCATGGCTAGAAGCTGGCCAATCTCTGGCGGCAGGGAGGAGAGGGCAGGGCATTGTGGCTGAGCGCGAGGCGTTTCAGTGAGGAGAGCTGGACGATGATGGACGGAATGAGCCCTATTCTGCGACACATAACCAGGAATATACTCAAGAGGAGATCGCTTAATAGGGGCTAGAGGGTTGTCGATGTTGCGCGGAACCACCCCAATGCTGCAACAGAGTCAGGGCATCGATCAAATCAAGGTGGCAGGGGCAGGAGGGTGGCAGAGGGCGGGTGGAGGGCGGGTGGAGGGGGTGCATGATTCAAATATGAGGGATTAGCACAGAGGCGCTGCAAGGGGTGACAGCTGGTAGTATATTATCAATCAAGTGCTGTGCACCTCTCGTCCCAACCAAACCTTGGTCAAACATGCCAGTAAACGAAACCCTAAAATTAGCCTGACGAACCCAGTTAGCCCGAAACCTGGAGAACACATACTGGTTGTGGTCGAGTGCGAGAGCCATGAGGTTCGGGAGCCGAGTCAGGGCTTCCCAAGCAATGGTGTTTTCCGTCAGCGAGTTGTGGCTCAGACGTAGCCTCTGCAAGCAACCAACCATCAGCATCAGGCCAGCATCCCCGTTTCAGTGAGGCATCGTTACCAAACGAAACAAATCCAATTAGCATCCGACAACGTGGAGATAGAATGGTTTGCTTGACAATACACCCATCCAACAAATATTTACACCATAAGCAACAAAGGAAAAGGAGTGAGAATAACATGTGAATAATTTATAATAGAAAAGCATACAGATATCTCACCTGGAGGTTGGTCAAAGCTGTTACAGCTGGTGGAAAGATCCGAAGGCTGTTGCCGCCTAGATCCAGAACACGTAGTGCAGGGCCCGCAACCCACACAGCTCCAGGAACAACCTGAACCCAGCAAGAGAAAGGAATTCATATTGGTTCAGTGAGGGTGTTTTCTAGAAGAAGAAAACGATTAAAAACCTTGAAACCAGAGAGAGAGGGGAAAGATAGGCTCAAGGAGCGTTTAAGTTAAAATGTGTCAAGGCTTCAACCAGAGGGGAGTAAGATTGGTTAACAAACGGCCTGAACCCAACGTGAGAGGAGTAAGATTGGCTTGAGGAGGATGCGTGATTGTATGCACGTGTGCGAGTGCCAGGGTGAGTGCGAATGCGCGTGCGAATGGGAGAGCAAATGCGCGTACGAAGGCGAGTGCAGATGCGAAGGCGAGAGCGAGTGCGACTGCGAGTGCAAATGCGGATGCGATTGCGTATGCGAGGGCGAGTGCGAATGCGAAGGCGAAGGCGAGTGCGAATGCGAACGCGGATGCTAATGCGATGAGCGAATGCGACTGTGGGAGTGTGAGGGCGTTTGTGCGCATACGCTCGCATGAGCGAGCGAACGCGTGCATGCGCACACGTCCTCACGACAGTGCGTGAGAGCGTGTGCGTGTGCATGAGCGCGTAAGTACGTGCGCGATTGCAGCTCTGACAGGGCGCGCGTGTGTGAGCGAGCGCGCGGGAGTATGCAACGGGTGCGCGAGCGCGTGCGTGCACGCGCGTGTTTGGGTAAGGTGAAACAATGCGTATACCCTCGTGTTGGGGGGTGCGGGGAGCGGGGAGAGATGGGGGGAGAAGGGGGAGGAAAGAGGGGGACGAAATGAGGGGGTAAGTACAAGGCTGCTAACCAGACCGCGCGCGTACCTGCAAGTTACTGTCTCTTAAAGACACGATCCCTGTCTGCACCCACATCCGTTGTCTGGCCTTCTCTTGCCCCAGTGCGACCGGCGATGGGGCTGCAACCGACCGTTGCAGACCTCTACCGTATCTGTGGCTTGCTGATTGTCCCAAAGTGTAATGGTTGCCACCAGCCTGGAAAAGCGGAACGCATTTTCACACAATACAACCACACGACGCATTCTTAAATCAAGATTCGCGGACGTACTGAATCGTAGCGACGTAAGTAACGAGGTACGATAACGATAGCGAGGCATGTGGATAGGTATGATACCGAGGTAAGTCACTCACCCCTTGATGCACTCCAGCCGTTGCCATGAGCATAATCTTCGCATTGTTGGTGATTTTTGCCTCTTCAAAGGACATGTCAGGGGTCAAAATCTTCCCTGTAAATATCGCAACAGAATTAGTTAGGCGTCAGCGCATTCATAAATCTCGCAATAACCAATCTGACCGCGAAAGACGCACCTTTGTAAATAAGCTTCTGACCCCTGGAATGCACATTTGTTAGCCCTTCCAATGTCTCCATTAACTCTTTGACAATGCATCCTGGCGACATCATCAGTTGATGCGTCTGCTGACCATGTTTCACAACCAATCTTAACTTCTCCTCCGCGGCATCTACCGCGGCAGGCTCGGGTTCTGGATCACCTCCAGCCATTATCGACCTCCCAAGCCTGTCATGCACTCGGAAAACCGCCAAAATATATTCCCCCGCGAAAAAAAATAACCTACGTCCTTACACTTCAAACGCCACTGAAACCAAGTATTATAACGGCTCTCGATACGTCACGCTGTAACGCTAACAGAAAGCGTCCATCATAAGCTAGCGAAGTCCCTGAAGTCACGGAGAGATGCAACTACTTCGCGTTTCCGGCATACCACTGACGAAGCAAGCAGTTAGGTTGGTGAAGCTTGCCTCAAAGAACGGACTGCTGGGAAAGAGGCCCTTGGGAACATCGATGGGGAGGGGAGGCTCGAGGGCGTTGTTCGGCGAAACCCTGGAGTGACGGGGCTAGTGTGGTTGTGGGGAAGGGTCACGACGAGAGCTTGCTTACAGTTCATGTACGGATGTT